AAAAAAAAAAAAAAAAAAAAAAAAAAGGAAGGAAGGAGAAAAGAAAGTATTAACCAGGGGCTTGGAGAGATGGATCAGAGGTTAAGAGCACTGACTGTTCTTCCAGAGGTCCTGAGTTCAATTCCCAGCACCCACATGGTGGTTCACAACCATCTGTAATGTGATCTGGTGCCCTCCTCTGGCCTGCAGGCATACATGGAGCCCAAATGTTGTATACATAATAAACAAACCTTTAAAAAAAAAAAAAGTACTAACCAGATCTTAATATAGAGTATGACTGACACACATAATATAAAGAATTAAAGAATTGATGAGAGAAGGAAAGATGGTAAAGGAGCAGGGCAGGACCAACCAAAACTAAGTAAGTGTAAATACTGGAAAAGAAAATCTACTAATACAAGCAAGTGGTGACCACCTTTGAACCCAGCGCTTTGAGGCAGAAAGATCTCTGAGTTTGAGACCAGCCTGGTTTATAGATTGAGTTCCAGAACAACCAAGGTTACATAGAGAAACCCTGTCTTGAAAGACAGAGATAAAAGAAATTTACAGGTTGGTCCGAGAGTAGTGGTGTTTACAACTAATTGATCACAACCAGTTACAGATTTCTTTGTTCCTTCTCCACTCCCACTGCTTCACTTGACCAGCCTTTTAAAAAAAAAGAAAGAAAAGAAATTTACAGCACTCAAGAGGCAGAGGCAAGAGATCTCTGTAAATTTGAGGTGAGCCTGTTCTATGTAGAATTGCAGCTTACCTGGGACTACTACATAGTCCAGACCCATCTCAAAAAAAAAGTAACTATTATGTTCTAGATTCATTTGTACCATGTTAGAAAAGTGATCTAGTTAGTGGGATTAAAGTGTTGGGATTAGCATGTGCCAGTTCCTGAGTAGGCTAAAAACATTGGAACCTCCTGAAGCAGGAGTTATACCCAATTGTGAGCTGCCTGTCATAGGTGTTGTGAACCAAACTCCGGTCCTCTAAAAGTAGCAGTGCATGTGTTTAATTCCTTAGTCATCTCTTCAGCTCCTCTACATGCTCTTTTTGGGGGGGCTAGGGTGGGGGATTCAAGACAGGTTTCTCTGTGGAGCCTTGGCTTTGTCAGAACTTACCTCTCTGTCTCTGAGTGCAGGATTAAAGAAAGGTGTGAGCCACCGCTGCCTGACTTCTTGACATGTTCTTAATTGTTCAGTTATCTCTTTGGCTCCTCGGTTTTTAATTAATTAATTATGTTTGTTGTGTGATGTTTTACTTTTTTGGCTTTTTGGGGTCTACCATCCAGCTCCCAAATAAACACACACAGAAGCTTATTCTTAGTTATGAATGTTTCTTTTTTTTTTTTTTTTTTTTTGGTTTTTCGAGACAGGGTTTTTCTGTGGTTTTGGAGCCTGTCCTGGAACTAGCTCTTGTAGACCAGGCTGGTCTTGAACTCACAGAGATCCGCCTGCCTCTGCCTCCCGAGTGCTGGGATTAAAGACGTGCGCCACCACCGCCCGGCCTCTATCCAGCTTTTCTTATGTTATCCTGACTACCTCTGGACTTCTATCTTTTTCTGTTTCTGTATACCTTCTTTCTCTGTGGCTTGCTGTGTAGCTGGGTGGCTGGCCCCTGATGCACTCCTCATTCTCCTTCTATTTATACTCTCTACCTGCTAGCCCTGCCTGTCCTTGATCCTGCCTCACTATTGGCCATTCATCTCTTTATTAGCACCATCAGGTGTTTTAGACAGGCACAGTAACACAGCTTCACAGTTAACCAAATGCAGTGTAAACAAGTCACACACCTAAAACTATTATTCCTAACATAGTTTATCGAAAATAGAATCTAGGTTTTGTTTTTCGAGACAGGGTTTCTCTATGTAACAGCTCTGGCTATCCCGGAACTCACTTTGTAGATCAGTCTGACCTCATACTTGATAGTGTCTAGTTTTAATCTTAGTGTTGGGGAGGCAGAGACAGGCAGCTCTCTGAGTCCAGTACAGCCAGGTCTACACATAGAAACCCTATCTCAAAAAACCCCCAAAAATAAAAAAAAATTAAAAGTATTATGTCCCAAATGATACTTAAATAAGTCAAATACCTTTTGTCTTTAAGGTGGGTCATGATAATTGGGTACGTGGAGTTCTGTTCCATTCTGGGGGGAAGTTTATTTTGAGTTGTGCTGATGACAAGACTCTCCGTGTATGGGATTACAAGAACAAGCGATGCATGAAGACCCTCAATGCGCATGAACACTTTGTTACCTCCTTGGGTATGTACACATTTTGAGGTTTTTGAGCATTTGAATTTTGGAGTGACAGATGTAACCGTTTATATAACCTTGTGAACTTTTCCAGGTAAGGAATGATCAAGTTCTTCGAGGGTAAAATAGAAAGGGAATATTTTAACCTTGTGGGTCCCAACCAGTGGCTTTAATGTTTCCTTTCTAGAATTAAGCTTATAATAAAAATACTGTTTTCTCTGTTGTACATTGGTTAGAAACTAGACTTGTGAAAATGATATTTGGTGATCATACTCTTGATTGGTAACTTTTTATTTTCTATTAGTTTGTGAATTCATCAGAAGAATTCTTGAGTGCTGTGGATGTTACTCAGTGGTATAACACTTAGCATATTTTGACTGAGACACTATTTCAGTCACCAGTACTGCAGAAGAAGAAGAGCAAAAGATTTTTTTTTTTTTTTTTTTGGATTTTCGAGACAGGATTTTCTCTGTGGTTTTGGAGCCTGTCCTGGAACTAGCTCTGTAGACCAGGTTGGCCTCAAACTCACAGAGATCCGCCTGCCTCTGCCTCCTGAGTGCTGGGATTAAGCCGGCCAAAAGAAATCTTAAATAGTAGCCTGGGGTACATAGCAAGACCCTGTTTCAAGAAAAAACAAATAGGACTGGCAAGATAGAGATAGGTAGAGCAGGTAGAGAAGCTTTGGGGCAGGCACAAAAACCTGTTTGATCACCATATCCCAGACAATGACAGGATAGAACTGAGAGTTGTCCTCTGACCTCTTGTACTTGAGCCTACACACACACACACTGAATAAATACTTAAAATTAGGCGTTGTGACACATGTGGGCAGCAGATATAGGATCATCATGTTCCAAATAGGATATATGGCAAGACCCTGTTTTTGAAGAAAAAAACAAAAAACCCTATAGCACTTTCCTGTAAATACCGTCATGTACTAGAAACCTAGGGAATTGTATATAAGTGTCATGTCCTTGGTATCATTTGGAATTCATGAGAATGAATTCATTATGTTATAGTATACTAGAGTATGATAGACCTTATGGTGACCACAATAAGGCCCTTGGTAAATTAGGAGAATCAGTTGTCAACATAAAGCATTAGTAATAAGCCTGGAGCACAGTATTCAGTAAGTGGGTATGCTAAGTGTGTCCGTGTTCATATTTCTAAGCACCATTTGAGATGGTACTTGTGATATTGAGTTGAGTTTCAACTTTACTGGGTTGGCTTTTTTGTTTGTTTTTTAGAATATTTTTATTTATTTATTATGTATACAGTATTCTATCTGCATGCCAGAAGAGAGAACTATTATTGATGATCGACTTATTGATGGTTTTAAGCTACCTTATGGTCGCTGGAAATTGAGCAGCCAGTATTCTTAATCTCTGAGTCACCTCTCCAGCCCCAAATTTCAACTTTCCTAACCCAACTGATAAGCTCAGTAATTTCTAGGAGTATGGTGTGTGTATAAAGGAAGTCATGTGGAGGCATATGCTCATAGAATTTCAGTGCATGGAAGCTGAACTGGAAGAAATCAAGTTCAAGGCCTGCCTGGGCTATATAAAATACTCTTGTCTCAAAAATGAGCAAAAAAACTCTATCTGGCTTAGTATGGTTTGAAAGCACGCCTTTTCTTTTCTCTTTCAGATTTCCACAAGACGGCACCCTATGTGGTTACTGGCAGTGTAGATCAAACAGTAAAGGTGTGGGAGTGCCGTTGATTGAGTCTCATTTGGTTCTTCCTCCCTTTTTTTCCTCTGGATGCACTCTGATGATACAATGGTTACCCCATTTGAGCGCTGTTTAAATAAATATTGTCCTTTCATGTAAATTATTCTGGATGTAGATTGAGCTTATTAAATGTTACACACAAAGTATTCATGCATGGTGAATCCAAATTGTATACTGTAAATTACATATGTTGTCTAGAAGTACCATAGGGTTTAAAAACCTGGGCTGGCATTGGTCACACCAGGCCTACAAGGGCAGAAGTTGAATAAATTGAACTAGGGCACTAAACTGAATAGTTGACAGTGTCGTTTTATGTTGGATTATTAATTATTGTTTTTCTTCCTGCTATCTGTTGGTGCCTGACTTGATGGCCTCATTTTGGGAAAAGTTGTGGTTATTAGGGCTTTTTCTGAAATGTGTATCTATGTAACATCACTTAAGTGTGCTTAATAAATCTTTAAGGGTGTTAGATAAATAAGACTACAATTCAGAATCTTTTGCTCCATCTGTGTAATTAATGGGGATTACACATTGAAGTTTTTGTCATGACCCCTTTGCCAAATCAATAGGATATGTTTGTTTTGGCAGCCTATCAAGCAAAGGCTAGTGGTATATTTATGTAAGAAAATGATCGTAACTCTCAAGAAAAATCTCAGCAGCTAATAATAGTGAATCCTTTTTTCATTTGGGTCTTACTGCTTTGTAAACAGGTCAGGAGAACACTGTCCTACTCTAAGCTTCTCTCCACACCAGACATGCTTTGAGTTGTATTCTCCGTACTGTTGGACTGTGTAGTCATGTGACTCCCCAGTAAAATTTGATCTTCCCATTGAGTGTCATGGTACAGATAAGTCACTGTGTTTATGATGTTTTTAGGGGTGTGCAATGTGCATTTCAGAATAACAAATGCTGAAAAACTTGCATGCCTATTTTAAAGGAGGAGGAACAACGGCAGTTTTCAACATGAACCTGAACTGCTTCACTTAAAGTTATAGAAAGTGGCAGGGTTTAATGAAGCATGCATAGAAATCAACTGGGGTTTTCATCTTTGTTTATATGTAAATGTTTAAGTATATGGACCTATCTGTAAGTGGATATGTCTATATATGTATATCACACATACAACCTCCATGTTGTTGGGTCTTGAATTTTTGAAGTGCTAAATCATATGAGTAGAGTAAATCTTGCTGTGGATTACCAACCACAGCCATGCTTTTGATGCTTCTGGCTCTGAGGGGCTTTTCCAAACTAAAAGAAAGCCACCTTCTTTATTCTCCACTCTAATGTGGCCATTCACCGTTTTATACATCCCTGATATGTTGTATATTTTGATCCAAAGTTACTACAGTAGGGTTAAGAGAATTTTGCCCATGACGTTTGGAACACTATTCCATTATCGGTTGTTAATAAAGAATTCCATTGCCTAGTTAACCAACCTTTTCTTCTTAAGAAAATCAGTTTCAAAAGTTAACAGAAACAAGGAAATAACAGTGACAGTTTAACAATAATTTTTATTCATTTTTGTAATATATGATTTTTTTAAATGTCCCTTTAAGTATTTAAAGGAAATTAGATTCCTGAAAGGACAAAAGATGAGAGTTAATGTACTGTAGATATACGCAGAGGTTAGATAACTAGGAGCAGCTTAATGTCTAGCATGTGTCCTTGTTCATCCACTTGTTTGCTCTTAATACAGTCCTCAGACATGTCTCTAGAAAGGAAAAGTGTTTTCAGAATTAAATGGCTATTTTTGAGGACAAAAACTCAATCTTGATTCCGCAAACACTGTAGGTTTGTTTTAAGGGCAACATTGCCTCACACCCCTGCTTACATTGAAGTCTTTTTTTCCCTTAGCTGTTCCGACTGGATTTTTCTCCAAAAGCTATGGAAAATATCTTTGTTCTCATTTGCTGCTATTTCTTGTCCTATTTCAAGAATATAAATACATAGAAATGGTGCATCTTAACATTTGTTTGTGTTTAAATGTCTTGTCTTTTAATTCAGTTTTAGCATGTAGCAACATAAATTGTTTAAGGGTAAGCCACAACATCTAGACATCATTTATAGAAACAGTAAAGAATGGTACCAATGTAGAGGAGCAGAGCTGCTGTTCTGGGTTTCTTCCCCTGCAGCGGTGACTCACTGACAAAGGAGGAGGGAGTGCTCTGTAACAAAGCTGTCCTTACTTGGGAGATCACCACAGCCTGCTGCTTAGCTGAGTTATTAGACATCTTCCACTTAAGCAGCAGCGAACAATGAATCTCAGGGATGGTCCACAGCTGGATCCAAACATAAGGAGCCCTGTTTGAGTAATGAAGGGGGTGGGGGGAGGGGGCAACATCCACATCTGGCATCAGATTTGCAAAGGTTTCTTGCACTGTTGTTTGACACTGCCCTGTTGATGCCCTTACTTTTATGTTACTGTTTTCTCTGCTGTCTACTCCTGTGCCTTGCCTGGGATAAGGACAATGATAAAATTACTGGTTTGGGTTATAAGTAGAGGACTTTATGAATTAGTTAGCGGTTCACTGCTGCTTTGTTACTTTCTCAGTCAGGTTGGCCACTTACTAAGAAACAAAAAGCCGGTAGAATTGTGTCCTAGGATGATTGTTGACTGTGTGTGTAAACAGACATTCCAGTGCCACCTATAGCACAGCGTGCCCAAAAGTCCCAACCGCATGGAGAGTGCAAGCTGCAGAAGTTTGTGTAGACATGGCCTGGAGAATAGTTGCTTTTGACTTGGCATCTTGCACTTTAGGAAACCAAGACCGTCCTGTCTGCATGTGGTGTGACCAATGGTGTGCCTAGAGCATTACCCACAATTGCTAGTGTTAGCAATCCGTCCTGGGCCATGGCACACTGTAGTCCTTTGGAAGCTTTGACTATAGGCTCACCAAGCCCAGTATCCTGTTTGCCTCTTTCTGTTTCCATGTGAATTTCCAGATAATACCACTCAATAAAAAGTTTATTTTTTTTGTTTTTTTTTTTTTTAATTTAAAGAAAAATTATTTAAAAATAAGGACATTTTGTTTGTTGGCAGTGGTGGCTTGATAATCCTTAAGCAACTGAAGTTGAACTAGAAGGAAAAGGCACTTAAAATGGTTACTCCTGCTGTCCAGCTGTATATAAATAAAGTCAATGTGTTGGTTAATCTAGATGGTGCAAAGAATGTCCTGGTAGACAAGCAACATGGGCAAAATTGGAAGAAAGGTTTTGGGTTTTTCCAGTGGGCTGGGTGGGGTGGGCTGGGGACGCTGGACTCACAAGTCACAACTGGAACTGGCCTTTTATCCTTCCACTGTATCATGTAAGTAGCTGCTTTCTCGCCTGCCTATCCTTCAGGCTCCCCAAAGCTCACTCTGAAGATGTTAGAAATAAACACAAACTCTACAAGGTAGAAGTTGATCCTGACACTGACATGAAGGCAAGCGCTGATTTCATATGAACGTTGCGGAGGTGGTAATCGGAGGAAACAGTTCCCCAGATTGTAAGAGTTCACTGAAGATATCGACACAATTTTAAAAATCAGTAAAGGAATGTATATAATATTGCTCTTGTGTTTTACAGTAAGATTTGTTGCTCTCAGACTGTGTAAAACAAAATTTATTCATGTTTTCTGCATATTAAAAATCTTATTGTACCAATTGGTAAACTATTAAATGCCTATAAAACTAGATGTGCTGGGGTTTTTCAATGGGTATTGGGGATGGGACTGTGTTGTTTGTGCACAGATCTTAAGATCTTAGGAAGTGAGGCGCCTTTTTTTTTTAATGTATTTATTTTTTTGGCACCGAACAAGATACAGTTGGCCATGCTTCTGAGCCTTTGGGAGCTTGGCTAGTACTATTGTTGTCTACTGTCTTTCTGGAGGAAGCAAGTACACAGTAGGGGTCTTGTAGCAATAGGCTTGAACAAAGCTAGGACTGCATTGTGTAGCTAAGCCCCACCCTTCCCTTCTAGCTGCCTGTTCCCTGTTAGACTCAATCCCATTTTGTTTCTAGGTGAGCCTTTTATCTAGCATCTCTTTCCTTGGAGTTGTAACTATCCTTAATGTTTCAAGTTTATGAAATTACCAAAATACATCTTCATGCTCATAACTGCTCTAGATGCCCTGACTCTTCCTGATAGTGCATATCCTTGGTTATCTTCAGCCTTTTAAGTACAACAGCACCACCTCCCGTTGGAAAGAGCCTTCCCAGCAAGAGAAGCTGAGCAAGAATGTATTTGCCAGCTTTTCTGCTTGACTGGTAAGAGCCTAACATTGGATTTGACCGCTTTCCTTCTGACTTGAGTTCTAAATTTAGTATCATATGCTATTGTAGTGACTTTGAAAGCACACATTGGCCTTTTGCCAATTTTCCCTGCTCTCAAGGCAAGGAAAATAGCTTTGTGGCCACAATGCCACATCCATCCTTTTTGGTTAGTCTGGTGTAAACTGAAATGTGCGGGCATGAATTAACTGCTCACAGCAGCTCTGTTCCTGAGCCCTGTAGATCAGGCTGCATTCAGAGATTCACCGGCCTGTCTCGGAACACTGGAATTAAAAGGGACACCACCACCATTAAAAATTTTAATACTTGTCACCCTTAAATTTCTTTTTTTAATATTTATTTATTATGTATACAATATTCTGTCTGTGTCTATGCCTGCAGGCCAGAAGAGGGCACCAGACCCCATTACAGATGGTTGTGAGCCACCACGTGGTTGCTGGGAATTGAACTCAGGACCTTTGGTAGACCAGGCAATGCTCTTAACTGCTGAGCCATCTCTTCAGCCCATCACCCTTAAATTTCTAAATTAACTTATTTGTGTGCACTTGTACTACAGAATGTGAAGGTCAGATCATTTGGAATGGATTCTTCCACCAAACTGATTTTTGGCAATTTCTACTGAACCATCTCACTGGCAAGATGATGCCTTTTTAAAGGCAGGGTCTCTCTATGTAAGCCTGAAACTCAAGGCATCCACCTCTACTTTTTGTGCTGGGACTAAGAGCATGCACCACCACACCTGGCTGCTTTAACTTTTTGAGAGGGTAGGAGGTAGTTTTGAAACTACTTTGCTTACCTCTGGCTATCCTGGAATTCCAGTGATAGCTCTGCCTCAACATGCACCACCACAACCCTAGCTTCCTGATGGTGTCAGTGGAGTACCACTGTTTTGAGGTAGATCCAGGTGCAGAGCTACTCTGGCTCACTTTAAAATACTTTATTCTCACTGGGTAGTGGTGGCTCACACCTTTAATCCCAGTACTCGGGAGGCAAAGGCAGGCAGACCTCGGTGAGTTGGAGGCCAGCCTGGTTGTTCTACAAGAGCCAGTGCCAGGACAGGCTCCAAAACTACAGAGAAACCCTCTCTTCAAAAACAAAGTTTATTCTTAGCTATAGGACACACAGGAATTCCTGAGGTTATCTTGGAGGCTTCAACAATAGCTCCTTATTACTTGAGTTGTTAAAAGATCTTACTGGCCACTGAAATGGCTAAGCAGGTTAAAGTGCTTGCTGTCCAAGCCTGACTTGAATTCTGTCCCAAGTCATCCTCTGAGTTCACATATGCATTGTCTGTACTCAAATTATCTACACATAATTTAAGATTTTACTTAATCTTATTTTTTTCGAGACAGGATTTCTCTGTGTGACAGTCCTGGAACTAGACCACGCTGGCCTTGAACTCAGATCTACTTATCTCTGCCAAGTGCTGGGAATAATGCCATGCACTGCCACCGCCTGGCCTTTTTTTTTTTAAAGCCAGGAAGTGATGGAGCAACTTTAATTCCAGACCCAGGAGGCAAAGACAGGCCAGACTCTATATAGTGTGTTCCAGGACAGCAGAGACTGTAACACAGAGAAACTGTCTCGGAGAAAAACAAAAATCTCTAAGCAATCGCTCCCTCCTCCCAATACTTTACAAAAAATGCTTAACACTAATATGCTTGAGGGAACAACCAAGAAAAATGGGCCTCCATGGTTGACTAGTATGAACTCCTCTACAGCAGTCTCAACTTTGTGTGATGTTCCTTTCCAGAAGTGATGTGCCCAATGTGTTCAGAACAAAGGGAACCAGGCACTTCCACTTGGGACATAAAGGCATGATCAGATCGCTTGGGTCATATTCAGCTTTAAAGTGATTTCAAGGCCAGCCTGGGCTGTAAAAGACCTGTCTTAAATGATCAAATACAACCATTATAAAAGGCACTAGGGAACATGCACAGACCACATAAAATTAGTGGGTACTTACGGATGTTACTTAGTATGGAGATCAGGGACATCTTTCTGACTGGCTTAAGAAAGAAGGACCACAAATTAAGACTGAGATTTTTCAGAAAGTCTAAGAGATCAAAGACATCAAAATTAGACTCTAGGATTTTGTAATTTCTGATCATCATTAAGCGGGAAAATGTTCAAGCCATTGTGTCCTCAGGTCTGTCTAGTTGGCCACCTCTTCCCTCTACTTCACTGGCTTTAATTGCAAAAGCAGCACTCCTGTTCTCCAAACAGAGTGTTGCTCAGTCTACTGGCTGCAAGGGAAGGGAATGAGGCACAATTAGGTGTCCAGAGGACCACCAAGTCCTAGGAACCCAAAGCCTGTACCAATACATCTCCTTTTTTCTTGTGTAGGGACCAGCTGAATTGGAGTTCCACTTTCCACTCAGTGACTTGATAAACATAACCTTGAATTTGACCCAATATATACATAATTATCTCAATAGCATTTCTGACAGCCTCCCTGAGACATAGGAGCCTAGCTCACAGAGCACACAGGGTGAGCCTGGGGCAGCAGGTTTCAAAAACTCACTTTATTCCAATGTGAAATGAAGACGTGATGGTTTAAAAACAAGAAAAGGATCTTGATAGCTGTGGGATGCCTTGCTGGCTCATGCCCATTCCCTTTTAAACAAGGTCCCTGAACAGATACTATCCATTAGCAGCTCCAGCAAAACCCGAAGCAGGGGCTCTGCCTAGAACAGCTCCCTCAGGCTCAAAGGGTGGTCATCTCCTTCAGGGACAGCAGACAAATGGAAGCAACACAGGCGAACAGGGAGAGAGCAGCCAGGTAGGAGGAGCCTCGTTACCCCTGAGCCTCTTTGTAGAAGTGCTTATATGGCAAAGACCAAGTAAGGAGCCTGGCTCCACAGAGGGGACAATCACTCCTGTGCATGTCACTTTCCCTGGGATCCATGATTCAGCTCTGGCCCCTCACCCAACTACCCTCCACTGTGCGTTAGGCAGCTCAGGTTAAAATGGGAAGAAAGATACATTCACACTATTGGCCCCCAAGGTTAAGCCCACCTGGGGTACAGGGAGCAGAGAGGCAAGTCAAAGCCTGTGGCAGTGCCTCCTCCTGCTTGGCCAAGGCCAGGCACATGGATGTGTGGGGGTCTACCACTTCAGGCCCCTTCCCCTCACCCTGAGGCTACAGGTAGGCCAGGCCCAATGACAGTAAAGCCACTGCAGGTCTTACCTTGCACCCTACTAGGGATCTGGCTCCCTGCTCCCAGGACACAGGAAAGCCCCCATCTTTTTTGGCTTAAACCTGGACTTTTTAAAGCCAGGCTGGGCCCAGGGGTGGTGGCAACAAAAGCAGCAGCCATAATGTCAAACATACAAATGACCTGAGAAATTGCATCTGCACGTCATCCACTCAGAACCGACTGGGCTATGTACATCAGGAAGGCAGGAGCAAGACATCCACAGGCATGAACACACACACACACCTGCTTGAGGGCAGGAGGCTGGGGGGCACTTGCCCCCATACTGGAGCTGATGCCTACACACTCATTCTCGTGTCTTCAATCAGGTCTCTGCATCGAATATTCACTGAACCAGTGCAAAACATCTTTTAGGAGCAGGTAGGCCAGGCCAGGGCCCCAGGCAGATACTGGGGGTGGGGTAGGGATAAAAAGTGGAGGACTAGCTTCCGCTCCTAATCTGCAGGGCATGCTCCCTGCTCCTGGAATCTGTCTGAATCACTGGGAAATAGGGCTGCTGATTGTCCGTGTTTTCTCTCCTTTTTTATCCCTGTAAGCTCAAAGAAGGATCCTCCTTGGCAGTCTGAGGGGAGACCATGTCCTCCAGGGTTCTCGCTGGCTCAGGATCAGTGGCCACAGTATCCCTGTTTCTGCTGGCCTCTTGGAGCTGGTGCCGCCGTGCTACCTCTGCCTTCAGGTTTTCCAAGTCTTTTTGGCTGAGTATTAGGAGGCAAAGGTAGAGTTAGAGTAGCCTGGGCCCTCTGCCACCCTGCAGCTTCCACCAGTGTCACTTGGGACTTTATTGAGCTCTTTGCTTCAGCTAGTGGGAGATATGTGTGGATGTCCCTCCCAGAGGTGGAGTGCTCTCTGTTCTTTACAAAGCATCTGGTAAGGGTATGCCATCCCTACCCATAAGTTCACTCTGCCCTTAACGTCTGGCTTCTACAGCAGATCACATGCAGAAAACAGCCAGGGTGCTCCTATTGTTGGCTATCCCACCAACTTCATCTCCCACAGCCAGGAGCGAGGGACTCTCAAAGCAGTTTTCAAGAGACTCAGGGAGTCTTCAAAAGGCTAGCTGACAGGGCACGGCCCTTCACTGAAAAAGCAGGTGGCTAGTATTCTAGCTACCCTTTATGTACTAGAGGTGAAAGATCACCAAGATAATGGAAAAGAAAGTGCCAGGTACAGTGACAGCCTAGGATCTC